TCCAGCCACTGTTGACGTCTGTCACCACGCTGTTCTCTGGTCCAGTCATGTAGTCATTATGGCTCTTTTTATTCCCTCTGTATCCACATCCCGCCACTGTGTCTTTCCTCTCGGCTTCTCTGCGCTTTCCCTCTCACTTCTTCCGTTGTAGTTCAGGCGTCATTTTTTTTTTTCTGTTGGAAACACTTTTGCGCTTTTCTTTTCACGCTTTTTAGGAGTTCCGTCCGTCCGTGCACTTCTCCAGCTTTACACATCCCGCCCTCCCTCCACCTGGACCTAGAACTCCCCCCGGTGCATTATTTCCCTATTCAATCAGCCAGCTGTGCGGTGTTTTACCGTAATTGTTTCCTGGCAGCGTTGGAGACCACCGGGGAAAAGGCTCTTATGAGTGCTCCTCCGCTGATCCGTGCGCCCAGCCCGCTCATCTTCTCAGGGGGGACCAACAACACCGGCACCGGGGGAGGAGGTGGAGGAAATGGAGGTGGAGGAAATGGAGGAGGAGGAGGAGGGGATGTGATCTCCTTCCACATCCAGATCGGTCTGAGCCGCGAGCCGGTGCTTCTGGACGCCGCGGAGCTCAGCCTCAGCCAGGTGCGCGAGGTGGCGTGCTCCATCGTGGACCAGAAGGTAACCGAGAGAGAAGTCCGCGTGACACCGTGTAAACTTGTGAGGGTGTGCCAAAAGTTAAACTAGCATCATTAACATGAGTTTAGGTAGAGTGAATGTGTGGTGGAAAGTACATTTACTAAAAGATGGCACTGAAGTACTTTTTGGACATATATTCCTACTTGACAGATATATATGTGTTCTACTCAGTAACAGTAAACATTCAGTTAGAAATAAGGTTGCATTTTTAAAAATAGGTTGGAAGTTATAATTTAATTTTGACCCACAAGTAAAAACAGGTTGGTTCCAATGTGTCCAAAAATATGTGTTTAAAGCAATTGTATCTACAGAAAAAAAGACATAAGAAGTCAATAGTGAAAACACAGCTAAGCATGGTTCCTGTAATCTGCAACACTTCCAGGCCTCTTGTTTCTCTGTGTGGCCAAATTATTCAGATCTGTGGCACTCATAAAGTCATAATACACTTTTGTTCTTAATGTGGTGTAGAACTGAGATTGTATCCCAAAAACAAATGGCACGTGCTTGCCCAGTTGTCATGGAGACAGGTGAGTTGTCATCATGTGATCTACATATTGAACCTTGGTCATGTGATGGATTGCAATGTGTTCATGAAGACCTCCAAAATGATGCAATGAGTGAACCATGTGACCAAACAGGAAGTCGGAGGCCATTCTCTCCTTTACAACAAATAACAAACACTCAAAATGACTTTAAAGAAACTTATTTTCAAGTTGCACAAAGTACCGGTTTCAGTGACACTGAACGTCTCTAGTTGTGTCTGTCTGTGATGATTTTGATCTTACCTCACAAAGTGAAACCATGTTGTTTCTTTGACAACAAATATCATATTTACCTTTTTAATTTGACAGAATTTATTTTAGTTTTTAAATTTAAAACTTTGATCTTGAAATATCTGAGTTTTTTCTTGCACTATGACTCCAATACCCGACTAGGTCTGTCATCTAAGGTTTTTAACTACGAAGGACCTATTTGGCCTAACCTGATATTTGGCCGTTACTAACCTGATATTTGGCCTAAATTGTATTCAACTGTTTTTATAAAGCACATTTCAAACATCATTTACAGAAAAAGAACACCTACATAATAAATGAATTGCAGAATATGCGGCCAAAACAGACAAGACACACTCATAGACACAAGCTGACATTAATAGTTCATACACACGTTCACAAACCTGTTCACAAATGCTAAAACGTTAGCCATGTTTTGAACCTGCTTTAAAAGTATTAGTAGAAATGAATCACTTCCTGTTTTTATTGGAGATTGCAGAGATATAGGATTGTGTGTGTGTGTGTGTGTGTGTGTGTGTGTGTGTGTGTGTGTGTGTGTGTGTGTGTGTGTGTGTGTGTGTGTGTGTGTGTGTGTGTGTATATTCAATAGCATGGATAATGTGTCGGTCTGTAGAGACATTGCTCTCAGTCGATGACAGCACATGTGATCTGACGGGTCTCTGTGTGACACAACTTGTCTGCAGTTCATCGATCTTTACACACCAGAGGTTTACGGACATGTGTTGTTTTGGAAAAGGAAACCGACAGGGAATCACATAAAGGTTATCTTGAATTATGTGTTATTGTCCAACACAACAACAACAACAATAACAACACAGTCACACTGTTGTTGTTTGAAATGTGCTGCTGTCAAAAGTGTGATGCTCAATTAGGAGTTGGAAGGAAGAATCAGTTGCTATTTTTCTGTTTATTTCTCCGCGTCAGTACATAACTGTATCAACAATAACAGGGCAATAAGGTGAGGAACTTAGGCAACTATTTACATTCTTTATTTGATCATTATTTAAAGTTATTAAGCCGTTTATTTCCCTGGCAAATATTGCATTAGTGTCTGGGCGTCTGACTTCTTACAGTATGAATAATGTTAGCATGGCTAGCTAGAATGGATGGGTGGCTACAGTGGTACATTGATATATTCATAGTACATCCATCTAGTACTGTCGTGATGGCATTAATGGGCAAAATATAGATACAAAAACCTGCATTTGATGGATGTATTGAGGGATGAATGGAAGGATAAATGAATGGCGAGATGAATTATTAGATGGATTTATGGAGGGATGGCTTGATGGAGACATTTGTGGATGGATGTATGGATAAATAGATAGATGGTATGATGGATATGTTGATGTCCTGCTTATGATACATTGGCCTGAGCCATCCATACCACATTCAGTACCGTTGAGGTGACAATAAACGGGGGGGGGGGGGGGGGGGAAGTAGATTAAAAGCCACCATTTTGTGAACATACTGCTGTTTCCACCTTATAATAACTACAAATCCAAGAGCAGCATGCATCACCTCAAGCTCAACCTTGACAAGACTGAACTGCTTTTCCTTCCGGGAAAAGATTGTCCCACTCTTGACCTGACAATCAACATCGGCACCTCAGTTGTTTCAGACTGCAAGGAATCTGGGTGTGACCCTAGATAACAACCTGTCCTTCACTGCAAACATCGCTGCTACAACCCGCTGCTGCAGATACACGCTTTACAACATCAGGAGGATACGTCCCCAGCTGACCCAGAAAGCGACTCAGGTTCTGGTCCAGGCTCTCGTCATCTCACGCCTAGACTACTGCAACTCCCTCCTGGCTGGTCTACCTGCATGTGCCATCCGACCTCTGCAGCTCATCCAGAATGCAGCGGCTCGTCTGGTCTCCAACCTTCCTAAATTCTCCCACACCACTCCGCTCCTCCGCTCCCTTCACTGGCTTCCGGTAACTGCTAGAATCCACTTCAAGACACTGGTACTTGCTTACCATGCTGCGAATGGATCTGGCCCTTCCTACATCCAGGACATGGTTAAACCGTACACCCCAGCGCGTGCACTACGCTCTGCATCAGCCAAACGACTCGCTGCACCCTCGCTGCGAGGGGGACCCAAGTTCCCATCAGCAAAAACACGTGGGTTTGCTATCCTGGCTCCAAGATGGTGGAATGAGCTCCCCATTGACATCAGGACAGCAGATAGCTTACACACCTTCCAGACTGAAAACTCATCTCTTTCGACTCCACTTCCAGCGATAGAATTACTAACAGAGCACTTATATACTAATAAAGGAATGGCTTATCTAAAGCCAGTTGAGTAGCACTTGAAATGTTTGGCTCTATGAAACCTGATGTACTTTATGATTCTGTTTTCTTCAAGGTTGTGTCTTCCTGGTCGAAGGCACTTATTGTAAGTCGCTTTGAATAAATGCGTCAGCTAAATGTAATGTAATGTAATGTTTAGAGTAACGTAAGAGATTTAGATTTCAGATGTATTTGCAAAGCACTGAACCTTAAAGGTGGGGTAGCCTAAGTTTGAGAAACCGGCTTGAGATACACTTTTTGTTATATTCCATGGAATGCTCTTAACATCCCGATAGCAATAAATATATTAAATGCTTTGACAATAAATACATTAAAAAATGTCACCTGTGGAAGCCGTGGCGCTGTAAAAAGCACGACCAATCATCTGAGCCGGCTAAAGTAACTGGATGGCCTACCTGCCTGTCAGCCTTCCATCTGGGCACAAACTTACCTCTTGCCCTCATTGGTCATGTGCGCGTTCGTGTGTGTTGGAGGAGGGGCTCTGTGAGGAAGTGGCAGATTTCTTCCGGCTGTGTATTTTTAAATTCTAGCGCACTCGAGCTGGTTTCTCCAAAATGACCTACCCCACCTTTAATAAAAACATACAGACTTTCACACACTTGTTTACACAAATGCCAAAACGTTAGCCGTGTTTTTAACCTGCTTTAAACTTGTTCAGAGGAGGGGCGTCCTTATTAAGTTATTGCTCAAATCCATTCTTGTGTCATAAAAACAGAAAGTAGTCGAATTTGAACTTGAACACCGGGGATACAAATCCTCCATAACATTGTAAGATATTTAGATTTATGATGTAGCACCGAACGAGTCTCTGATGGCTTGTGGCAATGTGTTTAGCAGCATTTCCCTGCATGTGTAAAGTCTACAGTATGTGAGGCTGTAAATTAGTGTTAGTCAGTGTGGTGACTCACTCCATCACTTCTGGGTGGAAACAGGATGAATTCTGCTTTTGTTTGCTCGCTCTGCAGGGGTCTCTGGTTTTATGTTGGGAGTTTTGCTTGATGAACTGAAGCTGTTGCCAAGCATTCACAAATAAACGTCATACACACACACACACACACACACACACACACACACACACACACACACACACACACACACACACACACACACACACACACACACACACACACACACACACACACACACACACACACAGTGTCAGTGTCCTAATGAATGTGATAGATTTCCACTTTCTCACGTAAACAAGCCAATCTGTGATGAGGTTGTGAATGTGAGCTTGTTTTTCTCCCATGATGTCGTTATGAATGTGATTTCTCTCTCAACACCAAATCTGAGAGAAATCCACAGTTTTGTTCTTCCATGTAAAACATCAAAACCTTCACTTCAAAACGGCAATTTTACAACTACTAATACAGCTTATATTATAAAGCTTTAATTCTGCCGCAACATACATGTGAATAATTAAAAGGGTAAATGTACTAAACACATCGTCGTACAGGAAACAATTTGAATGCTGATGTTCAGGTGTATATCAGTATGTAGTGTCTCTACTTTAAAGAGTCCTCTCCTGCTGATGTTCAGGTGTAGATCAGTATGTAGTGTCTCTACTTTAAAGAGTCCTCTCCTGCTGATGTTCAGGTGTATATCAGTATGTAGTGTCTCTACTTTAAAGAGTCCTCTCCTGCTGATGTTCAGGTGTATATCAGTATGTAGTGTCTCTACTTTAAAGAGTCCTCTCCTGCTGATGTTCAGGTGTATATCAGTATGTAGTGTCTCTACTTTAAAGAGTCCTCTCCTGCTGATGTTCAGGTGTATATCAGTATGTAGTGTCTCTACTTTAAAGAGTCCTCTCCTGCTGATGTTCAGGTGTATATCAGTATGTAGTGTCTCTGATGTTCAGGTGTATATCAGT